TGGGGGGCACTGTAATTGCCGTAACTTAGGAAGGGGTTGTAAGTTTCATCATTAAGGATCATTGTAATTTCAAAAAGTTGTTGAATGAACAGTCATAAGTTGAGAACTACTTGTACTAAGAGCCGCGGTGGTGCAGTGGTTAGAGTGCAGTACTGCAGGCTACTTCTGCTGAAAGCCGGCTTCCTGCAGTTTGGCAGTTCAAATCTCACCAGGCTCAAGGTTGACTCAGCCTTCCATCCTTCTGAGGTGGGTAAAATGAGGACCCAGATTGTTGGGGGCAATATGCTGACACTGTAAAACCATTAGAGTGGGCTGTAAAGCAATGTGAAGCGGTATATAAATCTAAGTGCTATTGATATTTCTGTTACTTTGAAATGAACCAATAGCTAAAATGTCCACCCTAAACTTGAATATTGCAGGTTGTATACCACAAAAAAACAAATCTCCTTATTCCCATTCTATGCAGAAGGAAAAGAAAGAAAAGGGAACAGAAAACCAGTTCAGTCCTATAAAATTGTTCTCTTCATGATCATAGAACTCTCCACTGCACTCATAATGATGATGCAGAAGCCTCATGTGAAAATGCCCAGTGCACAGATAACATGAGACCAGAACAGTTATGACATAAGAAGATGCATCCTCAAGTTTTACTCAAATTCATCTTTTTCCCAACAAGGGAGACCCATGTTTGTAGCAGATGACAATCTACACATCTACAAAATTATCTGGCTGCAAGTAAGGTTGCCTACATCTGCTCCTACCAAAGAGACAGAATGGAAAGAGATGGCTTATGACGATGGCTCCTTCCAGTTCCATGCTTCTATTATTAGAATGGGGAGAAATTGCATTGGAAACATCTCTTCAAATTTGTTTATGTATTTGCATGGAGGTGGCGTTTCCTTTTTCCTCTTGGGAAGAAAAATCCTTACAAAGTGCCACAACACAGAGAAATCTTTGAGAAAGAAGTGTTTACCCCATCTTCACTGTTTATCAAAGCTTTTACAGAGGCATCACTTACGCAAAGCTGTGAGTCACTGTCAGAACAGTGTATAAAATTACTGGCACTGTAAATGATTTTTTTTTCTGCATGACAAGAAGGTCAGTAATCTGCCCGTACTACATTAGATCACTAAATGCACTGCTTTACAAATATGACTATAAAAATATCTACAATTAACTAGAGGAACAAAGAAGAGAAGGAGAGGAGAGCCAAGGAGAATGAGATCAGCAGACTGTAACCTGAGTCCATTTATTACAATTTCTATCACTACAATCACTACATTCCCACATCCCCTCCCCTTATATGGTTACACATCATCTCTCAGTTCAAAATGGGAAATATTATTTCGCTAATTGGTAACCTTTAAGCCAATCTGATGTCACATTGCTCTGACCTGGGAGGAATGTCTATGAAATGTGCACACTAAGCTTGAGATGTGCATATAAAATAACAAAATAAATTGTTATTTCCCAACACTGATGAATCTTAAAGCTTCAGTTGAAGGAGACACCAGCACCAGTGCATTGTTATTCTCCCCCAACTCAACTCACAAGTCAGGGTTATTGTTGTAGGAAAAATAGGAGGAGGAAGGAGGATTACATAAGTTTGCTGCCTTGAATTATTTATGAAGTAATAGAGATGGGATAAAAATCTAATAAGTAGTAAATAATAGCCAGCTCTTCAAGGGCAGCAGCAGAAATTACTCTTTGTTTCATGTTAGAGACTAAACCTGGCAAGTTTTTAAATAATACAACAGCCACATTGGTTATATAAAGTAACACAGACTATGGTATGTTGCATTTATTTCAGTTTAATATAGTTGGGTTGTTTCCATGGCCCAGTGCAAAGACACCCGAAAGGGGGCTTTTAGGATTGTAGGGTTGGAAGGGAACTTGGAGGTCTTCTAGTCCAACTCCCAAATCCCACTCCTGGATGGCCCTGCCCACCCCTCCCCTCCCAGGAGTCCCCATGTGGCCCATTTGGGATGCAGGTAAGTGCAGGGCATGCACGGAGGCATGAGGAGGGCAAAAAATGGGCCTCCCGGAAGTTCAGGAAGGACAGAAATGGGCCTGTTTCCAGCTTCCAGAGAGCCTCCGGAGCCTGGGAAGGGCAAAAACGTTCCCCCGCTGTGTTGCAGGAGGCCGACTAGGCCACACCCACCATGGCCACGCCCATCTAGCAACTGGGAAGAGAATCCTTTGTTAAAATTTTTTGAAGCCCATCCCTGCACTTACAACTTCTTGAGGTAAGCCGTTCCATTAATTGTTGTCACTGTCAGGAAAATTTCTCCTTAGTTATAGGAGGGATCTCTCCTTAATTATCTTAATGACCCATTATTTTTGTCCTACTTTCAGGTGCTTTGGAGAATAGATTGGCCCGCTCTTCTTCATGACAGCCACTCAAACTGGAAGACTGCAATTATATAACCCCTAGTCCTTCTCTTTGTTACGCTAGACATACCTAGTTCCCTCAATTATTCATTGTACGGTTTAACCTACAGATCCCTTATCATCTTCGTTGGTCTTCTCTGCACATACAGTGTGAGATATAATATGACTAGGAATTTGGGCTAGGCAAAATCCTTAAATCAGTGCTTCACAATAATGAAGATATCACCTCTTCAAAGGATTACAGCATGTGCATTCTTTGCAAAAATACCTTGAAAGTTATCCATGGCCAGCTCTGCATCCAAATACCAGCACAGGCACTTTGCTTCATCAGTGGTCCCAGTGAAAGTATTATCTACGTAGGCATACACATATTTAGATGTCCAGCAACAGCTTTCAAAGCCTACTGACTTGGTGGGACATTTCTTTTAGGCATTTTGCATATTTCTAATAATTAGTGTAGCATTCTATGACACAGCACCTGTACAGAATTGAAAAGATGCATTACAGAAGATTTTTATGGCCTCGTGGAAGAGTTTGTGGTATTTCAGCAGGCTTGCAAAATTTTAATGAAGGATACGGATGCCCAGACAATGAATGACATAACGTTGCAAAAATATGCTGAGGGATAGGAAAAAGTTGCTGGCTATTGCCTTAATTCACATTTTCTTTCACTTATTTCCCAGAAAATGTATTTCCTTTTAAAAAGGGGATTTTATTGTCGTGGTGGTGGTGGTTGTTTTGCCATATGCTCAGAATAATTAGAATTTGAGTTCTAGGCCAAAAATTCTTTATGAGTGCAAGATGGCAGAAAGTAGTGATTTTTGTCTTGCCTCTTATCTCTCTTTCCATCCCTCTTGTAGGGGTGTCCAACTGGCGGTCTGTGGGCCAGGTGCATCATGCAGAGGCCACATCCACTGCAGCTCCATGAAGGGGAAAAATGTCATGATACACCATGTGATGGTAATATGACAATGCGAGTTTGACACCCGTGCTCTAAAGCCTCTCAGATTAAACACTTACACACACACTGGACATACTCATCAGAGATGGAGCACATGCACAACTCACACACCCATCAATCACTTCAGATCTCATTTTTCTACTGCTTTATAAATAACTAGGGGGACAGGGAATGTTAACACTTCTTCTCTGGGAAAAGGAAAAAGTAATAATTTCCCATTCAATTTAAAGCAAAATTATTTTTAAAATGCTAAATAATTTTTGGCCTAGCACTAGAGAAAAGTGAAGCCATTAATGCTTTCACTCAGGTGTGGCTGGGGAATTCTGGGAGGCGAAATCCACAGGTCTTAAAGTTGCCAAGGTTGGACACCCCTGCTTTGGGCCATATACACTGTATGTATCAAAGCAATAATAAAACTTATCGGACTTCTCTTTTTGCTGGCCAAATCAACCAGATGCTTGATAAGACTTGGTGAAAAAATGTTTACTGCATACTGGAGTAAAAGCAATTGATTGTCCTCTAACAAAATGTAGGTGTAGCTCTTTCTCATATGCCCAGTGCTTTTTTTACTATCTTTTCCACGCTTTAAAGTACAAAGTATGCAGAACACAGAATAATAGAGTTCAAAGGGACTTTGGAGGTCTTCTAGTCCAACCCTTGTTTGAGCAGGAACCCCTACACCATTTCAGTTAAATGGATGTTCAGTCTCTTTTTGACAGTCTCCAGTGATGGAACACCCACAATTTCTGAAGGCAAGCTGTTCCACTGGTTAATTTTTCTCATTATTAGGAAATTTCTCCTTAGTTCTAAGTTGCTTCTCTTTTTGGTTAGTTTCCATTCGTTGTTTCTTATCTTGCCTTTTGGTGCTTTGGAAAATAATTTGACGACCTTGTCTTTGTAGGAGCCCCTCAAATATTGGAACACTGCTATCATGTCTCCCTTAGCCCTTTTTTTCATTAGATTAGACATACTCACTTCCTATAACCATTCTTCATATGTTTTAACTTCCAGCGCCTTAATCATTCTTGTTTAATTTCTCTGCACTTTTTCCAGGTTCTCAACATCTTTTTTATATTGTGGCGACCAGAACTGGATGTGGTATTCCAAGCATGGTAAAACATCTTGTTTTGTCTTTCTTTCTTTCTTTTTAAATATTTTTATTAAGTTTTTTCAGATTTAAAACAAACAATACATAAAATAACAACATATATAAAAACAACATATTTACAGTCTTCACAGTGATGTGACACCTACATTTCCATCAAAGTTGGTATATACATATTTACATTATTTTTTATTTCTACCGTCCAACCAATTGTACCATTTCCCCCATATTCCATATTAACTCTATCTTGCAATTCTAGTGTAAGTTTGATCATTTTTGCACAATCCATTATTTTCTTTATTATCATTCTTATCTCTGTGTAGGTTATTCTTGCTGCTTTTAATACATGTTTTATAATATATTTGATTTCTTTCTTAAATATCCCTAAGAGAAACATTAGAAACAAATTCTATTTGGAGACCAGTAATTTCTTGCAATCATTTCCTTATTTTATTTCAATTTTTTTTTGCTTTGGGGCAAGGCCACCACATGTGAAAGAAGATACTTTGCTTGTTTTTACATTTTGTTTTGTCTTTCTGATAGTGTGGAGAAGCTATTGGTATTAACACATTTGGCATTTCTGCTCTGATAAACGTTAGTTCCCAACATCAAGATTGACCTTTTCATGATAATAAGAATGACTGAAAAACTTCAAACACTAAAATGGATTACAGGAATGCAGTGTGTTATTTATAAAGCAGAAGGAAATGTGATTGTTCACTGTTATCAAAGATGATAGAAGGTGCTACGCTACGGTATTGCTGTTTTCTGTTACACATTACTTTACACTCTTCCGATTTCAAAAGCCCAATGGGAGAAGATCTTTCCTGGTGCCTCTCCTTGGAATTTAATTGACGTATGTGAGAAGCTGGGGAGGCAGCAGGATTAAGTAATGAAAGGCATTCACACTCACAGACACACGCATTTCTCTGGGCCCTCTTGCAGTTAAATTAGTGTAAGAATCAATGGTGGGATTCAAAACATTTTACTACCAGTTCTGTGGGAATGGCTTGGTGTGGCTTGGTGGGTGTGGCAGGGGAAGGATACTGTAAAATCTCCATTCACACCCCACTCCTTGGGGAAAGTTAATGTGAAATCCCATTCTCTCCCCACCCAATAACCTGCTTTCCAGCTCCGTTCTTCTGTGCAGGGCAACAAAAGAAGACCCAGCCGATCAGCTAGGACTTGGGAGGCAGAGAATAGATGGGGGAGGGGCCAGTCAGAGGTGGTATTTGCCAGTTCTCCAAACTACTCAAAATTTCCGCTATCAGTTCTCCAGAACTGGTCAGAACCTGCTGAATACCACCTCTGATAAGAATTCTACATTTCACCCATAAGCAGGGAACATAGAAGTTTCTCTGCCAAATCATCTTCTTTGAAGAAAATCCTGAAAACAAATGTTTTCATCCCATTGAAACAGAACTGGTAGGAAAATGCAGATGTTCTTCTTTCTGACCAATCTAAAAGCTGAACAAAATGGAAGCAAATGTTCTTTTGGGGGCAGGGGGCATGAAAAGAATGATTTAGTTGGCACCTAGGCCAAATGGGGGCTGAAGAGAAAAATATATATCCCCAATTTCGCTCAAGGGATCCCTATGTGACAGACAAGTGGGAAATGGCTTGGAATGTTGGGGCTTCCTCCATTCCTAAGCCCACCTCCATTCTTGTCATGCGATCTAAAGCAGACCATATGCAGATGGCTTCTTCTTCTTCCCAAGGCTCAGCTACCCATGAACACTGCTGTAGAAGCATTCTCTTTGGAATCTCTCTTCTGGAAGTGCATCTGCCCTAACCAGCCCTACTTCATGGTACCTTGGGCCAGAGTTTCACAAGGAAAGTGAGTGTACTACATGGTACCGTACTATTCTCAGAAGTTTTGTTTCTGTGATTTTTATTTTTCTGTTGTTCACCATCCAGAGTTCATCAGGATTAAACAGGGTTATATATGCTGATGATAAATAAATCATGAAATAAACAAAGAAATTGGGAAGAATTCCAGAAGCCAGGCATTCCTTGACTACACTGTGTTAGCTATAAATACTACATGTTGTGACATTTTATTGAATGATTGCAGGAACTGGGTATGTTTAGTTTAATGAAAAGAAGGACTAGGGGTGACATGATAGCAGTGTTCCAATATCTCAGGGGCTGCCACAAAGAAGAGGTAGTCAAGCTATTCTCCAAAGCACCTCAAGGCAGGACAAGAAGCAGTGGGTGGAAACTAATCAAGGAGAGAAGCAACCAAGAACTAAGGGGGAATTTCCTGACTGTTAGAACAATTAATCAGTGGAACAACTTGCCTCAAGAAATTGTGAATGCTCCAACACTGGAAGTTTTGAAAAGATATTGGATAACCTTTTGTCTGAAATGGTGTAGGGCTTCCTGCCTAAGCAAGGGGTTGGACTAGAAGATCTCCAAGGTCCCTTTCAACTGTTATTTCTATTCTATTCTATTCTATTCTATTCTATTCTATTCTATTCTATTCTATTCTATTCCATTCCATTCCATTCCATTCCATTCCAAGCTAGTATTCATGTAGTGTTTCTCAAAACTTGGCAATTTTAAGAGATGTGAACTTCAACTCCCAGAATTCCCTAGCCAGCATGTCTGTCTGGAGAGACACTGTTGAGGAACACTGTTTTAAAATATGTTTTAAAATTGTGATTTCAAATGTTTCTCTCTGTGTGTATGTGTTTGTGTGGGGGTGGGAGGGGAGGGAAGAGTGAAGGAGAGAGAAAGAGAGATGTTTATATTAAAGCTGCCAGCCTGGGAAGAGAAAATACATTTTTATAGTTATTTCTCTCTGGCCTGATAGGAATCACTTTCATCCGATGAATGTTTATTTGCAGAGCAACATGACCAATAATTCTATGGATTTATACTGTTCTTTGATTTAACCCTTTAAAAATGCTTGTGAATATTGAATGAACGCAGAGATGGTTGGTTAGAACTATTTTATATTAGCTCTGGTCCTTCTTGATTGTGTAGTACTTGTTAATATAATACTTAATTTACAGAGCTGCATTGGCTTCCACGGCGTTTCTAACAGTAACATTAGTGTTACTTTTAACTTGGAAAACCATAATGGAAAAACATTCAGGATATCTACTTTGGTGTCTCTCCAGTCTGCTTGAGATGTTCTAGACTAGAGGGAAAAGGGCCAAATCCAATGCTTTTCCCTTGCTGTCCTAGCCCTCTGGCACAGCTGTTATTTCTTAGATTCAATAGAATATGTTGCTTTGAGATCTCGCGAGCTCTCCCTTGCCATCTTTGAAAAAGCAATGAAAACGTCAAAAAGACTTTGGAGACTAAGCTTAGAGTTATTATAAAATGTATGGTTGTGACTGTTTTGATGTTTTGATTTGTAAACAGAGCAGAGATGTGTCATTATCAAATTAGAAATAAATATGTATGTAATAAAACAGCCTACGAGTACTTTGCATGTTGTGTTTCAGAACATTGGCTGACTACCACCGTGGGCCTTGTAAAGTATGAGAGATGTAAACACTTCATAGCAGCTTCTTTGGGACAAAGATTAAAGCAATTTGTCTAAGAAAAATAGTGTGTGCTATATTAAGAGAAGATGAGAATAAATTGCACTTAAATTAATTTAGCTAAATTAGCCAGCATGTTTGAAGAAGCAAAGATAATTGCCTTTACTGCAACAGGATTGAAAGCAAAAAAATACATTCTCTCTCTCCTCACCCTTCTCTCTTCCCTCCCTCCCTATTTCTCTCCTTCTCATGTTTGTCCAAACATTATGGTCACTTGCTTGTCTTTCAAGCTACATATGAACTGAAAGAACCAAATTTTTGGATGTGTTTTGTTTCAAAATGGGAACTTTTGATCAAAGGATAAATAGGTCAACATTCAAGATGGCTTGTTCACAAAATATTTGATCGTACTGTATTCTCTAAACAATCCAGACAATTGGTCATTTTTTTATTCATTTCAAAAACTCTGTTAATTCAGTAATCTATAATGAGCCATTCCTTAGTCACTGAATGACTTTGGAGTGTCTTTTTGCCTTCCTAAATAATTACTGTAATTGTATTACTTATGCACAGGAACTGAAATTTGTGAGACATGAATATATCATGAATATACAAATATACCCTTTTACATCCAGCTGCTCCAAACATTATTTAGAAGTCAGCCACTGAATTATAAGGCACAAATAACTGATGAGCCTACTCCCATTAGCCTGTGAAGTGTGCTATCTGTTGGGACGGAGACCAGGTCTGTGGCCAAATAAAACCCACTGACAATTATTCCTTTTATGGCTTAATTTACACAGAGGCAAATGTTATTGTATAAAGTAACTATAAGTGTATCATCATGGTCGAAGATCTAGAAGTGAACTTCTAGTGCCTAAAGACATAACTAGATTTGATTGTATGGTAATAGAACATCTTCATCATCATTGTCATCTTCATCATTATAAAGTTATAAAGTTTTGCCAAGTTTGATCATTTTAAAATGGAGAGAAAATTGGCTGAGGGAGGGAGGAGGGAAGTTAAAAATTCAGCCCTTCCTCTTGCAATTAATTCTGTTCAGTTGAAGATAAAATATATAGCATAGTCCCTTTGCGCCCTCTTGTGGCTTTCAAATAATTTCTTTTACCTTTGATCCTGAACATTTATATGATGCAAAACGTTAGCTATAAGTTTGTCCTTGTAGAATCACCATGTGAGACAATTTTTTAGCCAGCACTAATTTTCAGTGCTCACAGTCTAACGTGGATTAACTTGGATCCTACGCTGTTCTTCATTTCAGGCATTATGATTCTGTACAGGTAGTCCCCGACTTATGAACACAGTTCAGCCCAACATTTATGTTGCTAAGTGAGACATTTGTTAAGTGAGCTTTGCCTCATTTTACAACCTTTCTTGCTACAGTTGTTCAGGAATCATTGAAGTTGTTAAGTTAGTAAGCCAGCTGTTAAGGGAATCTGGCTTCCCTATTGAATTTGTTGCTTCAGAAGTTTGCAAAAGTTGATTCTGGGACACCACAACTGTCATAAATATGAACCGGTTGCCAAACATGTGAATTTTGATCACATGACTATGGAGATGCTACAATGGTCCTAAGTGTGAAAAGGCCATCTTTTTCAGTGCCGTTGTAACTTTGAACAGTTACTAAAGAAATGGTTGTAAATCGAGGACTATCTGTGCTATACTGCTACTATAATATTAGACATAATTCCTAAAGGCCACTCTAAGCTTAGGAACAGGTTTTCAAGAATGCAGAGAGTTTGCAAAAAGAAGATGGAGAGCATCTCTTGATAAACACAACCTCTTTCCCATTCACAGAAGAGAAGTTAAGATGCAAGTCATTATCTCTGTGGCCCTGTAAGTCAGCTCAATTTTCTCGCATCACGACTGGGAAGCTGAAGTTGATAAAATGCCAGTCTCTTTACTGATATTTAGTTCACTTATTCATAACTGAACCAGAAACTCAGTTTACAATCCCTCCTAGATAAGCTACAAGGGTAGAAATAACCATGATGGCACAATTGGGATCCTGCAGAAAATTTCTTCTACGTATGTTTTTTATAGATTTCATTCAATTTGATGTAATACAATTCATTTTGAAAATGTATTTTGAAAAGGAAGACA